GGAAGGAATTTCGAGTCTCAAATATTCCAGGAAACTTGCAGAGTTATGGGTACTCATAAAACACGAACAACTTCTTACCACCCACAATCTGATGGAATGGTAGAACGATTTAATCAGACATTGGAAAGGTACCTGGCAAAAGTTGTGGAAAAACGGCAACGAGACTGGGGCAGGCACATTCAACCGTTTTTGTTGTCATATCGAAGCGCTGTTCACGAAAGTACGTCAGTGACGCCAGCTTTCGCAAACTTTGGGAGAGAATTACGGCTGCCTGCAGACCTGATCACCGGAATACCACCTGATGCCCCACGCAGTATAACCGATTATGCAAATGACTTGCGGAACAAAATGAATGACATTTATGAGCACGTCAGACAGACGGGCCAGCAAACGTCTGAGAAGATGAAAACACGGTATGACCGCAAAATGAACAACAAGGGGTTTGATGAAGGTTCACTAGTGTGGTTACACAATCCAGTTCGCAGCAAAGGGAAATCTCCTAAGCTTCAAGCTAAATGGGACGGACCGTACCGGATTGTGACAAGGATCAATGATGTAACCTACCGGATACAGAAAGGTGCCAGAGGTACTCCTAAGATTGTCCATGTGGATCGACTGGCGCGTTATTATGGGGCCAATAATGCTCGGGACGAGCATGTCTTAGGAGGGGGCAGTGTTGCGCGCCACTATTAATGTCTTGTACATGGCAACACTAGTTACACTAGTGCCCTCTAGTGTCGAGTAAATGAATGTATTGCGCGACACTATTAATGTATTGTACATGGCAACACTAGTTACACTAGCGCCCTCTAGTGTCGAGTAGCAGAACTAGGAGAGTCAAGATCCTTCCAGAAATTTCGGGACCGATATGTACTCGAACATTCTAGATGTCGCTACAGTAGAAGATTCTGGAAACTATCTGAGGCCCTATATAAGGCCGGTATAGTCCACGACCGAGGCAGTATTGAATTGGCGATACAAGAGAATACTTCGAAGCGAAATAACTTTGAACTCAAGTGATTGTGTTTTATTATTAGTGTGATTTTAGATTGTAATTAGTGTTGTGTAATTAAAGTGTCAATTTTGGTAATTCAATCGGCAGTTTTAATTGTCTCGAACCCCAAGCTCGTAACAATATATATATAATATCTTGTTAGCCCGCAAGTCCTCTGCTGAACATGGGTCTGTCCCCCTGAAGGTTTTGTCACTAACCCACTTTGAAAGTAGATTGACCTTTGTCTCGCATCTTTGACACTCCTCCTCGTCGTTGGTTCGGATTTTTCACGTCTGGCGTAGGTAAATAGATACAATTCCTATAGTCGACTCGTTCGACTCTGGGGTTGACGGATTCTCTTAAGCCGCCAATATAATTTATGCAGATTACTGAGCTACCTCAGGCTCTAGATATTTGTATTTTGGTACAAATGAACATACTTCTTTAATAAACAGGGTAATAGCAAAATTTCGTGTTTCTTAAAAAGCTAAAAAATTAATATTAAAATTAATAAATTAATAAAATTAAATCCAAACAAAAGCATACTGCTGCAAGACAGATACTGTAAGCTCGTTCTACGTAGATCGGACCAAATATTAATAATTAAAAGTTGAAGGTAGCCTTCGTTAACTATGACATGGGGACGTCAAACATACCGTATCCTACCGACCTGAAGGCGAAATTATACTTTCATTTTAATAGCGCTGTTGAAGCACTCCTATTACAGCGCCATGCAATTTTACAGGAGCGATCAAACCAGGCACCACAGATGATAGAATAAAGAGTTCCATTCCCTGAAGTACCACATCAGCGACAGAATCACGTTGTGATCAACTGGCGAGAAACATACCCGCCCCTGTCCTCAAGGGAAAGATGCAAAAAAAGACCGCATTCTGTCCCAATCGGCCGACCTATAGTCCCAAACACGGCGGCGATCTGCATAACGCAAGCGCGATGGGAGTGTGAGTGGCACCATAGTCCTAATCAGACGATGGTCCAATGAACCAAGAAGGGCGTCGACGGAGACCTGATATCCGTCCGGATGAGAGGTCAGCAGAAGGTCCTTAGTCAACAGAGAAGGTGCACGATCCTCCACATCTACAATCCGCGTAGGTGGAGTAACCATTTGTTTTGGACCATATTCCAAAGCAAACACATAAACAGATCTTCCCACATGATCGGTTTAACCGAACCAAGCCACTCAGCGTGGTGGCCGGTAAAATCACCAAGGATCACGAACTCTGCAGATGGGACCTGTTGTAGCACGGAGTCTGCAGCGATTTGGACGTGGTCGATGAGTTGGTCTGTGTCGGCATTACCTATTCAGGCTTCCGTAAACACGAGGATGGTAGTCTTTGACCTTCAAGACTGCCGAGGAATCGAGCACAGATGTTCTCTCTGACATATACGCAAAGTCCAGCCCGAGGTACAAAAGTGTTATTATAATTTGTACCCCGGATAGGAAAGAAGTATCGACCGGAGAGGACACCTGCGTCTCGGTTAGAAAGAGCAAGGTCGGCTTTGCCGTCTTGAGGTGGTACCTAGTGGACTTCGTTAACGTTCGAATGAAACTCCCTGATGTAGAAATTCAAGGATGGCGTGGCAAGGGTCACCTTTGTCTTATTACTCTACTTGCCACGAGCAGTACTAGTCTTGAGCGGAGTTTTTCTTTGCACCTTTAAAGTATTTAATTTAGTTTAAATAGGGCCCCAATTTCATTTTTGCTCGGGGGCCCTTGGTTAAATAGCTACGCCACTGGCTCGCACAAAATATCAACGTAGCGACCAACGGCCAATATGCGGAATTGACTTATAAGATCGAGGAAAAAGTTTGTTCGTATTTTATATACAAAATCAAGACATTTTATTTTATTACATTTAATTTAATTATATAATATATATGTGGCATTTTGTTTAATAACTTGTTGCAATTTTGAAGATAGTGACATAATCCCGTTGCTCTAAAAATCTTGGGATTTTTGATCAAAAAATTTGCGACAAGTACTTTCAACAGTCCTCTCTTGATGTTAACCTAACACTACCCCAAAGAAGTCTAAAGAGACCGAAACAGGTGAAAATCTCAGGGTGCAAGATGAGGACTATATGGTGAATGCATTAACACTTCCCAACACAGCTCTCTCACTTTTTGCTGAGTGGCCAAAAGATGCGTGTGACCACATGCGTTAGGCGTTATCATAAAAGACCACTCCTTTTCTGTTGTTCAATTCCGGCCGTTTTTTCTCAATTTCTTGCTTGAATATTACTTACTTACTACCTTTTAACCATGATCTTTTTTGCACGTTATTATCGTAAGTGATCGACTTTTCATCACCAGTGATCAATCTTTTCAAAAATGGTTCTGTTTCATTACGTTTCAATAGAGAATCGCAAATGAGTACACGATTAAATAGGTTTCTTTCACTGAACTCGTGTGGTACCCAAATATCGAGCTTTTTTGTATAGCCAGACTTTTTCAAATAGGTCAAAACTGTTTTGTGGTCAATCCTCAAATTCCTCTGCTATGTCGTAACTACTATTATGCCGATCTTGCTCCACTTTTTCAAAAATGGCATCGACTTTATCCGTATGAGGGCGAGCTGCATCTTTGACATTAAAATTCCTGGACTGAAAACGCTTGAACCAACTTTGTGCTACTCTTACTGACGCTGCATTAGGTCCATAAATGTCACAATTTTTTTCACGGCTTGAGTCGCATTTTTCCCCTTTTTTGTAATAAAACTCCCGAATGGATCGAATTTTTTCGTTAGATTAACTCATTTTGGCGGACAGAAAAACAATTGAAAAATGGCGGGAAAGTGTTCTTTTTTTTTACTTTTTTCTTTTTCTTAATGTTCTATAGGTACCTGTCGATATTAAAACCAGAAGGTACAAACAGTAGAACCAGAGATTTTTCTTCAATTTTATACAAACACCAGCTGTTCCCCGCGGTTTTACCCGCGTATATCACGCGTCTGCGTCTTGCGACATGCGAACTTCGAGAGAGACATCACGACGGACGGTTGCTGAATTAACAAAGATTTAAAAAGTGAAATATGTTACTAAAATTACATGGTTAACGTAATTGGTGGTTATGCATGATACAAGTACTGATACGAATAATGTGGCCTAGTTTGTACCGGCGTTAATATTTCACATTTTAACATGAAAAAGTAGTTATTGTGACGTAACTGTAATAGTTAAACATATGGTATCCGTAGACTTTTTTGTAGATATTGATATCCTCTATAAAACAGAAGCACATTACTTTGCTCTATTATCAATAGTTTCCGCAGCGTACGCGATATAAGGATTTTTTTTTGGTATTTTTTTCACACCTTGGGTTACATTAACGAATTTTTCATACGGATCCCAAACTTTTTTGAAAATATTATATAGCCTATGTTCATCAGGGATAATGTAGGATTCTAATGGTGAAAGAATTTTTCAAATCGGTTCAGTAGTTTCGGAGCCTATTCAATTCAAACAAACAAATTTTTCCTCTTTATAATAGTAAGAGTGTAGAAAATACGAAGAAACTTTTTCCCTGACCTATTAGTTTAGCGGGGCCTAACACGTTGGGCATTTTTTAACTTCTTTATTTTAAAAAAAATATTATTTAAGGTTGATATTATGTGAGAACATAATGCATATTTATTACTTCATAGTTGAACATAAATTAAGAAACAAGTATGCAAGAAAATTAAGAAAAAAAACAACACTTTTTACTATATAGTATACTATTAAAACCAGTGTGGGTAAATAAACAAATATTTTCATTTTGTAGTACATAAAAGTAATATAATATTTTACTTTAGAATCTATTGTTACATTTGTTAAATTTAGCTTACAAATGAAAGTCAAATGATCATTGCATAGTTACACATTGAATATAAGAATATGTAAATACAATTTATATTAGGAAATAAAACCAACTACACTACTAAAAAGCGGTAATATTAAAAACTTTTGATTCAGGTACTTGCCCTAAATACAGATGTTTTTATAAACTAATCCAGTGACATCCCAGAAGCACCATCTTTTTTACCATCCTTGTCTTCTTTAGCTTTTTCCTTTTTTTTATCCTCTCCTTGACTCTTAGACGAGTCTGAAGCATTAGACGTGCTCTCCAGAGCTTTGAAGAATGCTTGCATATCACCTGTATTTGCTGCCGACGCTACTTCCGGGGGGAGACCAAACTGAGTCATAATTGGTCCCATTTGGCCAGATGTCAGTGCAGAAGAAAATTGATTGGCTGCCTGTAATATACCATAAAATTAAGTTTTTGTCAACAAAAATCTTGAATTTGTATTGGGAGCAAATGTTTAAGTAATATTTGTCATTGTTCAATAAAAATATTTTATAATTTAAGGCCTTAAGTTTTTTTTACTTATAAATAAAAAACCTAAAAAATTAAAATGAATTATCCCATTAGTTAACGATTTTTGTAAATAAATTTTGAGAACACCACTAACAGGCTGTAATTTGAATGTAATTAAGAACTTAATGCAGTCAAGCGTTAACCTTATTGCTTAATACTTTTTCTATATAATGGTAGGTAGATGCGAACTCTGTACTAAAACTTCAGCCCAATAATTGTACACTTTTGTGAAAGCTTTATTTTTACACTTTATGTCGAGAAGACTATCGTGACGTCGAGTAACACTGCAAAAGTTAATGAATGTTATTGTGCCGATGACATTAATAATAAATAAGTATACAAATATACAGTAACTCAAATTTATTTGTTTCAGAATTTAGTTTAATTATACATGTTTATTTTTAATATGTAACGGTATTTAAATATATATAATACAGATGCAAAAGGGCAACATATCGTGCAGGGCATAGAGCGCTACTTACTTCAGCTAGTACCTAAGTTGGTTTAAACCATACATTGAAACGGATAAGCTGAAATGGTAATGGGCCCGTCATATAGCTTGAAGAACAGACAACCGATAGGGGAGAAAGATCTCAAATGGCTGCCTTATATTATATTATAGTAAGCGAAGGGTGGGATGGCGCGCAATAGGTAGAATGACATGTAAGATAAGCAGGAAGTCGGTGGCTACCAGCGGACTCAGGGTCGTGTTTTATGGCATTCCTTGGGGAGGCCTATATTCAGCTGTAAACATGTGAACAGCTGTAATGATGATAATGATGATACATAAAACTTTGCAGAGTAAATTTAATGAACTAAAAAATTCAGTAATTAAAATAAAACCTGTTTGGTTTTTAAACCGTATTTCTTTGTCTGCTCTTGACATTCCCATTGCATAAGGAGTAGTTTTTGCAATGATTCAAATAGATGTCGACTGGGAAACAATATTTACTGCCACAAGTTACAGTTAACTCAAAGCAACGCACTGAACATAAAAGTGATAACTCCGTGTTAGAGCGTAAGAAATGCGTTTGGTTAAACCAACTATTATAACCTAACAATTTTTTATACCGTAAAATAAAGTTATAAAATAATATTGAATTTTTATTTAAAGTAGCATCTTGAACTTGAATATTACCGTTATTTTGTTATTAGCAATGTGTTATCTGTACAAGATCTTGATAGCATACTCCATTTTAATCTAAAAACCAATTATTTGGAAGATATTGTGAGGCCAGTGAGACAAATATAAACAAAAATGTCACAGGCGACTGTCACTACTAGCTACTGTATAAACATTATTTGGTATCGATGACACAGACGTGTAGGTGGTATTACATTATCATGCGCACTTACTTAAGGTTTTTCACAAAAAAAATCTAATATTATTATCTTTTACAATTTAAAGATAGCAAATAATGTACGTAGCATTACGATAATGTACAACTTTATCTAATCTGAGGGAAACCCGAGTATGATAAAATTTTAGTTTCTATAGTAGCTGTGCTGTACCTACTGTTTGATTTTTAATAATCTATTCCCACACTAAGTGGTTATAACAAAAATCGTAAAATACGTGTTTAATTATTTTATTTTTTGATTTAGTTTATTTATAGACAATTTCAAAACGATACATGCAAGATATATAAATTATTCCCTAGAATTGTTTTTACATAACTTTCATTAAACATTTTAAAAACTCCCGAAGAACAAGACATGATGATGTTCAAACGGCTGAACAGATTTTCTTGGAACATAGCTAAGGACACTCTCGATTAAGACTTCATTCGTCCAAGAGCTATGACGCCACAAACAGACACACAGATACAAACTATAAACTTATAACACACCTCACAGTTTGGTCAGTGTTAAAAATAGTATTGTCAAAGATTTGAAAGAATATGGGCGAAAATCCTAGTGTGAGATAAAAGATTAATAACGTATGGTTTAAGCTGTGTAGTGCAGTATACATTTCGCATTAAGACAAGTTATTAAATGTTAGTTATTATTAGTATCTATACAACTTTATTGCGTTTATTTCGAGAAAGGTTTGACAAAAATCTCACATAAATGAGATTGGGTAAAACTCCCAATAAATCTACTAGGTTTCGACTTCAAGCACCAGTGTCTCCACTGGTGTCTTTTAATTTTAAGGGCATTGAGAGAAGAGAGATAACGATGCAGGTTGAAGTAGCAAGTCAATGAGTAAAAACATCCGGTGGCAAATAGTAATATATTGTTCTCTTCGTAATCTTCTCTCACCCCATTGTCAGTTGTTTAATTTTAGCTCCAAGAAGGCCATAAACAATTTAGTATAAAAAGGATGTATTTATATATTTTGTTGTTATAATATTATAAACAGGGTGTATTTATATATTTTGTTGTCATAATGTTATAAATTATACGTCGTATAGCGAAGCGGTAAAGATTACTATATACAATTCGAAAAAATGTTTAACAATTAATTAATAAAATTTAGTTATGAATATCAAAGGCAAATTAAAATATTTTTTTTTCTTAATTTTAAATAATAAAACAAATGATACAATTCATTAGGTACTTTGTTCTTGGTTTATATTTACGCTATTAGTAGCATGAATAGTAATTTAGTTTTTAGTTAAATTTTGATTTAGACAAATGAGAAAGATAGTCTGATATTTAGTAAGTTAATCATCAAACATTACAGTTCTTTAAAAAACAATAAACAATCTCCATATTATGTAATTAAACACAGACCTACATCACCTGCATCCACTAATTTCCTGCATGTGTTACCATCTTATGGTAAGCCCAATTTCACTTTACTTACCGTTCCGAGGCAACCACTCGAGGACCTTTCTTCCCCATCGGTTATCGGTTGTTCGAGTTATATGGCCGGCAAACTGCTACTTCAACTTGATCTGTTGAGCTATGTCAATTACTTTGGTTCTTTTGCGGATATCTCTATTATGTATTTTTCATACAGAGAAACTCTGAGCAAAGTCCAGTCCATTGCTTGCTGAGCACACTTAATCTTCTTTGTACAGCCAACAGTGAAGGACGACATTTCACTTCTGTAGGTCGTCATCAGCAAGACGCAGTGGTAATACTATTTTTTTAAAGTTTTAATCTATAACTATAAATAAAATTGAAGTGTCTGTCAGTAATTTCGAAATAACTGCCTTAAATTGAGCGTGGCTTGGGTAATATATTACATTACTAAAATTTCTTTGTTAAAGCGCCATCTACTTCATAATATAAGTAATTTTATCGAACAAAAATTGATGGTGTCTCAAGGTGGTACGTAAAATAGACGCAAGATGGCCTAAACACGACTAATGTAATATAAATTGATTTATGAATGCATTGGATAATCATAATTTTATTCAATATGATTAATTATATATATTTAATAAAATTCTTAATTATTTTAACGCTATATTATATTTTAACAGATACATTTATATTAACTATCTTTAAAGCACCGCACAAAGAGAACACTGTATACTGTATTTTCTCTCATTCTCCCGCAGTTTAAATCCTATAGATATATATATGTTTGTCTCTTTCTAGTGCAGCTTTTTCGTTTCATCGAGTTTCAAAACTAAAATAGATTTAACTTCAAAAAAAATTTAAAAATTAATGGTCTTTGATTATCTTGAATCTTATTTTATATTTGTTAATTATAATAACTTTTTTTTATTAATAAGCATACTACTTATAAATTTAAAAAAATATTGATGATTTTATGAAATGGATACAACCTATATGGCTATGAAGATACAAAGGCTTGAGCTATTATTAAGCAGAAGTAGTTAGTAGTAAAAGACAAGAAAAAGCCCATCAGGCATCCAAAAAAAGAGCCTAGATTACACACGCCAAACTTTGAGGCTTATATCGTATCTTGCCATCAATTTTAACAGACGTGCAGCTATTGCTTTCAGCTAAAAATTGATTGAGAACTTGAAAGAGAACTGCAAATAGCTTTGTCTTGAAAATAAAAACTTGAATTAAGATTGCAGTCCAGTGACTTGGCGTTTGGCTGCAGCCCTGCATTTTTTCCGTCGTTCATGACTTTGAAACAATGAAAATAATTTCAAGAGTTGATGTTGTACTATGGATTCTTTTCCTAGCGAGGAGTCTCTTTGAGTAAGTATCACCCTCAAACTATAAGACAATAGTGGGTATGAAAACAAGTATATAAACAGGCTGTGATGCATTTGCATCTTGGTCTTCAAGAGATTGATTCTGTAGCCAAGTTTGCAGATGTCCAAGGACTGTTTTATCCACTATAAAGTAGACAGCAATATTTAAGGAATGGGGACCGTCTTTGTAAATAGTAATTACGCGGAATTGTCTGCTTCGCACGACCATACTAAGGCCCGTATTAATAAACGTTACTCAGCTCAAGTACACGCACTTGAGTAAAATCTTGAGGTTATGATCTTATTAATAAACATATCTCAAAATGCGGCGTAGGTTTACGATATCACCTGAGTGACGGACTGATTAATAAACTAAACTCGCCTCTCAAGTGTGTGTGCTTGAGATGCTAATATCTGAGTGCGGGCAGTCCGTGACTTAAGATCGTGATTGTTGATATGATTATGGTTGGCCAGTGCAGCATTGAGTTTTTAAGAAAATGTATAATTTGTCGGTGAATTTTATAGTGCTGGAGTACATATAGGAGCCAGCTGTGTGGTACGGAGTCAAATGCTTTGTAGTCTATATACATTGTGTTGATGTTCTTCCTTTTGGAAATAGCTTGTTTCATTGCTAAGGAGTTTATTATGAGTTGCTCTTTACAAGGGCTGTACTACTTTATCGACATCCTTTTTGTTCCTCAGCAAGAATGTTGTTTGTGTCTAAAAATTGACGTAAGAGTTCGGCTATACATGCTGTAAGTAGTTTATAAATCGTTTGGAGACATGTGATAGGTCTGTATTTGGCAGGATTTTGATGATCTGCGTCTATCAGATTCATGTAGGTGAGGCCTTGTGGTATTGGGATATTATGTCTGGTTTTTGTATAAAGTCATTGATATGATTATGAAGTAGAGGGTGAATTGCTGTAAGTTTCTTGTGCCAGTAGTTATGTATGCAGTCAGTTCCGGGTGCTTTCCAGCTATGGGATTTTTTTAATATATGCACAGATACTTCCAAAAGTATTTGTTCAAATGCCATTGGTGTGATAGAATGAGTTAAGTCGAAATCTGTGTTCAGCCATTCCACCTCTGTGTTGCGGTGAACCGGCACACACCAAATACCAGACCAGAAGCTATGTAATTCATTGGCAGGTGGTAACGGTGCATCTTGCCCATTCTATGTGTGTCGTGTTGCGTGTCTGAAGTCTGGCTCCTGTAAAATTGTTTTTAATTGTTGATAAATGGGTTATTTTGTGACTTCCTAAGTGTACAGTGAAGGTAACTTTTTAATCTGCTAGATGCCGCATTCAGTTTTTGTTTAAGTGTGTCAAGGAATTGTTCATCGCTTAAATTGGGTTATTTGGTAAAAAATGTATTTGGTATTTATTTTTTATTGCTTCTACTAAAGTGATGAGTCTATTGCTTTTTATTGCCTTTGGTATATTCTGTTAGTCTTCCAATGTCTCTTCCGAAATCCTTTTATGCCAAGCAGGTTCTTTACTTCGAATTTGGGTGGCCAGTGTTTGTGTCTCTGATTTATATTCAGTTACTTACAGCTGCTGTGTATGTCGAGCAGTAAATTATGGTTTGATTGGTATCAAAATCCTGCTCTCTCGATATGTGATTTGGTAATATTTCAGTCTTTATAAAATCTACAATTTGAGCTAGCCTTTTAGAAGATTTTTGTTTTAGTATATAAGGTTGTTTAGTAGGGTTGATGTTCCGAAATTTGTCCATTGCCATTCTAAACAGTTCCTGGATTTTTTCCGCGTAGTTATTTTCTATTGCTTGGTTTTGTTGAGGTCCAAAGGCTTGAGTAGGTACCACTGATTCTTATTATTATTATGTGTAGTACTCAAAAAATCAAACAAGTATCCAATAAAATGCCATAAAATAAAATAAATAAATACATTATTATGTTTGTTTGTATTGTATGATACTGTAGAATTTATTGCCGGGCCAATACGACTTAGGCATCTTCAAGAAAAGAGCCTGCTTCTAAAAGGTCAGCAATGCATCTGCAATTGCACTGATGAAGCAGAAAGCAGATGTTCATAGGTGACGGTGATCACTTACCATCAGGTAAGTCGAATGCTCCTTTGCCTCCTCTTTTATAAAAAATGTACTATTTTTTGTAAATATAGATTTTAAATTTAAATAAATTTTATTGCATCAAAATCTTATAGCCGAACTCTAACAAGACAATTTTAGTACGACAATACACGACATAAGCGTAATCAAATGTCCCTCGCACTCTTAATTCGTACTTCAGAGGCGTTTAGGTGGTGATATTAATTGAATAAACGTATGGGACATCGAATCTTTGTCGGCAACAGCTGCACGTGTGCAAGACACGTGGGCGAGGCGCTTCGCGTCGCTGCGATATCAGGGGGTTCACCTGCGCGAACTGCGGTGAGAGCAGTGTGGTCCTTACATCGTCGTGGGGCTGGGTGGCAGTGGGCGCGGCGGGCGCTGTGGGCGCGGTGGGCGCGGGCTCGGGCAGGTGCGGCGCGAGGCGCTGCGCGTTGCGCGGCTCGCTGGCCGCCGCCACCACGTCGGGCGCCGCCAGCGCCGCGCCCAGCTCCACACGCCCCGGCCCTTCCCCGCCCGCCGCACCACCAGCACCACCTTCCGCACCCTCCGGCGCGTTGCCCAGCCCCGAGAAGTAGCGCTGCAGGTCCGACAGGAAGATCTGACCGCCTGACACAAAATCATTCTATTATTTTATATTCAAAAAAGAATTTAACAAATTTTATCGCATTTAATTTATTTTACTTATTTTTAATTATAGATGTTTTTGGAGCTTTACATCATCCAACGTCTAATTTTCGTGTAAATATAAAAAAAATTGCAGTCGGATTCTATAAAATATCTCTCGTGTTACATTTAGTAAAGGTCATAAATTATAAATAGCTATTGAAATAACTATTACTAATAAGATCTTACTGAGGAACCTTGTGTACTGGCGATGTAAGAATACTCAATATCGTCTCGTGGGAGTCGTAAGAGGCGACAGATGGAAAATGAAACAGGAGATGAGCAGCAGCATCTTCCTGATAATAGCTCAAAATAATAAAAAAAAACTGCGGTTTCCAAACCGCCTGCCACGCATGACAACAATGGCGAAATCCCCAATATGAGTTAATTTATGGGTGAACCATACGTTCAGCAGTGGACTTATAGGCCATAATGCATCATCATCATCATCATTACAGCCCTTCACAAGTCCACTGCTGAACATAGGCCTCCCCCAAAGAATGCCACAAAGCACGTTATAAGGTCTTATGTTAATCAAATCCAAAAATATGTGGTGACTAAAAAATTCCTTGAAGGAGAAATGGTCAAGTTCTTCTATGTTATTACAAATATATCATTTATTTACTCATTAACTTCTATTCTAATAAATAATATATTCATAAAATTCTAATTAAATCAGAATGAGTATAGGTACGGCTTGTAAAATTGATTTTGGTAAAAGCAAAAAACTTAGAATAAGTTTTAGAAACCAGTTACAGGTAACATAAACAAATGTAATGAAAAATGTTCTAATTGCAATGTTTAAATAGTAATTATGTAAGATTTCATACCATTAACACTTTTCTATATTATATTACTACTCCTGAAAGTACATATTAGTATGCTTACGCATAATAATACTTTGATAACATTTGTCATAGTTTCAGTTCTATAGGAGAGCCAACCACCGAGTGTCACCACTGTGGATGCGATGAGGATACAGTGTAGTTACCCTTGAGGTTTGCTCAGCTTGGGTAGAGTTCACCGTCACCTTTACCTCATCATGATTAAAAGAAAGAAATAGATTAAGAGGTGGGGACGCTCCACGCGGTACCTTATGTGAGTAGGAGATAAAGCAAGAGTCTTCAGAGGGGAAGAGGGAAAGGATGAGATACCCTAATACGCGGGCGAGGAACCGGGCGCTGGAAGAGCATATCAAGCCCTTTTCATCCCATCATAATATAGATCTAGATGCAGCCACAGTGACTGCTTCACTTCCTCAACTCGAAGGACCCTGAGTGGGCTTCTGCCGTCGAGGTTACGATAGTGTGCTGTAGTAACTCCGCTGGGCAGAGTTTAGGGCAATTATAACAATTTTTCACGTCACTATTCCTTAAAATATAAAAAAATTTTTACAATCGGTGAATTTCCAGTAATAACAGATGGATCTGAGACGTAGGCTTTCACAGCTGTTCATATGAGTGCTTACAAACGCTCAGCAAGCTTTAGAAAGGGCTATGCTCGAATCCGCAGTAGAATTTACATAGTAGAGCCATGCTGTCGGTCGGCTCGACCAGGGAAGGACACACTCTCACAGAATACCAGCGTAAAAAAGCAGCATAACACTGCTGTGCTTCGTATGGTGGGTGTAGAGAACCGGGGACCCTTTTTTACTGGAAACAAAGCATTCCATCTTAATCCTCACGGGTGACAACGTATCTGCATTTTGATTCGCAAACGAGGATAGATGTAGATGCCTATGGGCCACAGCAACCACTTACCATCAGATGGACTGCATGCTCGTTTGTCACGCTTGTTCTATAAAAAAAAAGGAATTAGAGTAACAGTAAGCTGCAGTGGCAATTATCAATTTACCATAGAAACTTTTCCATCTTTGTCTTGCCAGAAGAACAACGCACATGTGTTTAACTGTTACGTTCCCTTCATAGTTCACGGAGAATCCACTTTCTCTCTAGATTTTTTTTCCCATGCCATGTAACCATCGTAGAACAAATGTATGATAAACTTGTACCTGTTTTGCAACTTGCATGCTCAATTGAGTCCAGAAGAGATCTCAGACAGTAATGCTTGCAAATGGCCGATATATGGCTTCTGATGTCTTAAGGAATGTGGTTCATCACAGAAATTGAAATTATCACTTTTAAATTTTATGAACCACTCTCGAGACGTACTTTCACCCATGATTCACCATAGTATGCAGAATATATTGGTCTATGTGCTTTCGGTACCATCTTACGAAGGTTAAATTGAAACAGCATACACCAAATATGCAATATATCGATTTCTATTTTTTAACCAAATACAAAACAAATACAATAAGAAAATTTTTAGATAGAACTAACTACAAAGCTGAGAACTTTTGCACAGCCTTTATAATTAAATAATTCGGCAATATGCAATAGCGAGCATTTGAAGGAGAACTAATTTCAATAAACATAATTTAAAACTAACAACAATTAAAATATTTAAATTAACTAATACAAACATCTCAGACTTAACACATTAATAATCGACGTCAGGACGTACAGGTTGACTTTACCAGACTAGAGAAATACATTTAGTAACAACAAACTAATAGCCGTAACCAAATGTTTTGTTGTTCACTACATTTTCTAAAAAGAGCGATTGTTTTTTAAACAACGAATTGGTTGGTCTCAAACAAGTGATAAAGTAGTATGGTATAGATATTATAGATTAAGTACTAAGACACATATAAATTGACAAATTTATTGAAAAAATTTCCGTCGTGATTATAAAAAAAGCCTTCCTGCTTCCTTATAGAAGAGCCATATCCAGGAGTGGACTGTTTACAGAGTGAAGAGAAAGAAAGAGGAAAAGATAGAATTTAATTAAACTTACTGCGCGGTTGTGTGGCACTAGCGGTGTTGGGTGGCGTTGCAGCAGGAGGCACTTCACGTCGGGTCGTGGTACGTGCGGGGGCTGCAGGGGTAGCAGGGGTGGCAGGGGTGGCGGGAGTGGGGGTGGTGGTGGTGGCGGCAGCAGCAGCAGCAGCAGGCGCAGGTGTCGACTCGCTTGTTCGTGGCGCGCTTCCTCCACGAGAGCTGCCCCCGCTACCACCTGAAGCACGTGCGCTACCACTCCCGCCACCTGAACCCGTGCCGCTGCTGCTGTTGTTGCTAGTAACAATAAGAATGCAATTACTGCAAGGTCAAAACTAGGAGCACTAGTTAGCTAGTGCAAATGTTTTGTGATGTTTTGAAATTATTTTATAAGCTCAAATTCTTACAAAAAAGTTAAATTTATTATAAAAAAAATATTTTTGCTTATTATAAAATGGAGTTTTATTCTCTATGAATAAAAAAAGAACAATCAAAGGCCGGCAACGCATCTGCAACTCCCCTGGTGTTGCATTTGTTCAGAGGCGTCGGTAGTCACTTACCATCAGGTGAGCCGCATGCTCGTTTGCCCCCTCTCCTATAAAAAAAATCAATGCACTAGCACAAATTTTAGCAAGCTTAACTCTCATAGGAATAATGGGCATTCGCCCTTTTACAGCTTGCACAAATTTTTTTTTTACATTTGAATATTTTTTTCTATTCAATGTCATTTCTTGCTGTTGTTGTCTGACTTTCGTTCTTGTTGTATATATTTTTCATGCTAGTTTTCTTATTTCATGAGGTCATATTCTGCATGGTCTTGTTATTTTTTGGTTCCTTGGGTATGCTTCTGTTACTTATTTACTACATTCAATGAATGTTCATGGGGTGAACTTTTGAAGGGCTGTAATGATGATGATGATGATTGAATCCTCACATACGTGTTTAGTGCATCTCTACTTGACCTTTTAAACTTGTACATCTTCAAGTCAGTATAATTCTTCCCACTACACTCTAAGCTTCTAGCTTTTAAAGCGAGTTTTGAGAGCACACACACAAAACTATTTCAAGCTACTGTAGGATCCCTTATCATAACTCATAAACTATTAGATCTACTTAATACTTGTAACTTTAATTATATTTGTAATTTTTACATCTATAATTCTTGAATACCTAGAAACCCAAATTTCATGAGTGAACTTTTTATAGTTCTTGAAGTGTGAAAGTGCCATTTCTATCACTTTTTGACTCACTCATCCATACTTTGTTAGTACATAATAAAAATAATCCTTGTTACGTCGAAAACTCATTGACGCGAATTTTTTTAACATTTCTAAAATTCGAGTTATCGAGGCTCCACTGTATATACATTCATATACAATAACAAGCTTTGTACACATTATTATAATAATCATTACCCCATAGTCCCAAGTAGTGATGACAAGCCTCCAATTTGACCTACACCTCCAAATAGTTGCATAAGTTGTTGTTGTGACATATTATTGAGAAGATTTTGCAGTTCTCCATCTTGCGCTCCACCCCCACCGCCCCCGCGTCCACCAGATGTTGGGGGGTTGTTCAAAGCTTCATTTATACGACGACAGTAATCATCATCTTTATCAGTTTTTGGTTCCTGGAATTTTCATTCTTATTTACAGTGTTTATCTTACATTTCAGAAGAAATAATAATAAAATTATATTCTCCCATCAGAAGGTGAGGTCCATGTTCAATGTTCAGCTGTGGACTTTCACAGATTGATGAAGAAGGAAGAACAAAAGTGTACATTATTTTAGTTTAGGAAGTATTCAGAGCTAGTAACGAATCATTAAAATTAATATAATAACTGTTTTATATTAAAACTAGCGATCCACTCCAGCTTTGCACGCATAATTTCTGGATCTCGACAACAGCGCCTCCTATTGGGTCCAATTTTGAATTGTTTAGATCATCCAGGGACCTAATCAAACACGCACAAAAAATTACATCCTAATTGGTCAAGCTGTTTTTGAGTTTTAGCAAGACTAAAGGAAGCAATTGATGTTTATAGAGATAATGATTAATTATAGATTGAATAAGCCTCAGCAATTTTCACCTAGGGAATTGCAATTCCAAGCACTGATATTTGAGGTCTATCAAGTTTCAAGATGTATTTTCAGGATTTTTTCAAATCTGATATAATGGTTAGGATGATCCTGAAAATGTTGATACTGCAGACTTCGCGAAGCGTCCGTGCTTCACATCAGCGATATGTTCTTTCATGGGGGTTTAGTTAAATATCTATAAAAATCCGAACCCAAGCATACTACTGCAAGGCTTAAAGATACTGTAAACTGGACCTGCGTGGATCGGACCAAAATTAATAATTAAAAGTTGAAGGTAGCCTTCATTAGCTATGACATTGGGACGTCAAATACCTCCGTCCCCCGCCCCCTCCATGTAAGTGCCCGAAACGTCGATAAAATACGTAAAATTAGTTTTATTCCATGTGTAGTATTCGCGTATTTCGAGTAAATATAAGAAATCAGAAGTCAGAAGCAACCAGCTACATCTATATTTAACTATGAATATATTAATTACATTTAAGCCTAACCAAACAAAATTGCATCTACTTGTAGCCACTGTTACCGTTACAGATTATTAAAGTCTCTGCTGAACACAGGCCTCCCCCCTAGATTGTCTCATATTTGCTTTAGTTTTTAATTTTTACTTGTTATTAGGAAGACACTGCTGCCCATCTACTGATTTATTTCCCTCTATCACTTCTTACGACACCCACTGGATGATATGGGGTAGTGGATATTCATACATCACCACTACAGTTGAATGGCACCGTTTAGTAAAAACAGTCTACCGTTAACTGAAAGGCTAATTAAGCTAGATGGCTGCGACATATATAAGATGATATTATGTTGTCAATTATATGTTGGAAATCATCAAGAAGATATTAATCAAATAATATGATATTACAATATTATCAATATAGACATTAAATCTATATAAATAAAATGATAAAGGTTTGCAATTGTAAGCACATCACGGAAAAACTACTAGATAGATTTCAATTAATTAGGTTTTCTAAGTTTAATTTCTTACGACTCTTGGCCCTTATCTAAAAAAAATATTGCAATATCTTCATTTAATATAAAATTAGGTACCTATTAAAGTTTTAAGAAACAACAATTTTTATAATCACAATCAAATTTACATGTACAGTGATGTGTGTTTAGCTGTTTTTTACACGGTCAACTGTACGTCACTTGCTCTCACGTTACTAACCCAGATAATTTATATATTTTAGCTACAAACGGAGCAAGGAATAACATTGTTTACAAAGAAATTTTGTAAGCAAAATATGTTTTTGGTTGTAATCTTTTTGATGTTTTGTCCTTCGCACATGAAAACTTTGTTCAAGCAACGTAGACGAAGTTGCGGGTATCAGCTAGTATAATAATAAATGCTGCTATTTATTTACACTTAATAGAGTAGACTAAATATTAATCTAAAATACTTTTATATGTTGGACTGAAAAACCTAAAGTACTTATAAATGTAGGACTGAAAAATAACAAAAAAAACTGTATCTGTTTAGACATTGATTTTCCAAATGACTCTATAATCAATATTGAACACTTTGTGTATGGTTCAGACAAAAAGTTACATAATTTGTGTTTTAATTAGGGATGCATCTGATACCGATACCGATGCCAATATATTGGCGATATTCGAAGTTTGCCGATATATAGGCATCAACAATATTTTCATGGCCAATTCAATGATACTATTCAAGTTTCGCAGTTTAAAAATGTAATGTAAACACACATGTTGTCTCGTCTATTTCATTGCAAACGAGGCACAAACTAACTATGCTTGGGGAAACCTCACGCTTTATATAAGTGTCTTGTTTAGCCATAATACTTGATCCTAGTTACAAAGCATGAATATTTCAATCAAAGTCTATCACTATGGCAAAAAAGCATCTTGTCTTAATGTAGCACAGCATTTCGAAACTATTTCAGACATGGTCACACTTACATCTAGTACTGTAACTGTAAGATCTGAGATGCCTACGAGTGGCGGGCTTTGGAGTGTTTGTGAAAATATTATTAGAGTCTGAGGAAAATGAGCCCATGTCTACTCTGAGCTGTAATTCTCTCAAAAAAGAAGTTTAGATATACCTAAGGTCTCCTAATATATCGAGATTTTTCAAATGAGTTCTGTCGCATCTGAGAGACTATTTTCCACCGCAGGTCTTAATCAAACAGATTTGCACAATCGCCTTTCTCCGCAAAACTTAGAAGACTATTAAATAATATCAACCTGTCTATAGTTTTAAACGGTTTTATTTAGTTTGTCCTGTTATATGTTCTTTTTATATTAATTAAAGAAATGACTTGTGTTTTATTTATTTTACATTCATTTTTTAATTGAATAAACTTATCGGTATTGCTGATATTTTTATAAGAGTATTGGTATCGGTATTGTATCGGCAAAAAGGCATATCAATGCATTCATAGTTTTAATTATATAATAATAAAAATATTATTATATATAAATATGTATAATAATAGTTGTTAAAAGAAAAAAATTATATTGACATTAATATTAAGTGGAAATAAATAAAACATTATTACATAAAGATTAATGAAAAGCCCTCAAGAACTACCCCTCAAACCTTAAACCATCTCATTGTAGATTTTGTGCAGTTGAGCCCTTTTCTCAATAATTACATTGTCAAAACTTTCCTTAACAGAGGTCTCCTACCCTTTAGTTAAAAGCTTGTGACTGTTTATTTTTCCGTATTATGGATTAACAAAAAACTCATACCTGCATCCAAAAGAAATACTTCTTTGAGAAAGACTTGAACTTGAGAACATACACACGACCTGTGGTACATTCATTAACACGGACAAATTCACAGTCATCAGGGAAAATCAAGAGATCATCTTCCACCTCTCCTGTAGTGCGATCTTTCCAACAAAAGTGCATTAAAGAATCTTCTCCTTGGTAAACATATAAAAGGCCCTTCCTTTTATCTGGATGAACCATGCGTCCTTTTAAAGTCATCCTTCCAGCTCTAAATTCCACTAAATGCTTGTTACCTCCGGAGCTACCTCCCAACGCAGATGTATTACCAAATAATGCAGTAGCAGACATGTTGAAAAGTGGATATTAAAATCTGCAACAATTAATCACAATATCAGTATATAATTCACGTGTCACCCCTATCACTTCCTTTTACTACATATTATTATGAATAAAATCACTGTAAATTCTTAATTTACTTTTATCAGTCTTACCAAAGCGAAAAGTACCAAACCCACAAAACCCAAAGAGTACAGTATTCTACTGATATTATTAAATATCTATTAGAGAATAAAAAGAGAACGATAACCGAAATCAAAAGAAAACAGTTAAACGCAAAGAGAGATTGAAATAAATCAATCAAGAAATAGCTTGATAAACCTTGGTTCCTTGGTTTCCTCCACAAACTATATAGAAACTACGCGTTGTTTCCTGCTATTGCTCTTGCTAATCTCAGATTCAAAAAGTATTAAAAATAAACACAGAAGCACAGAACTCACAACTCACAACTCAGATTACAAAACTGCAATTCAGCATAGTGATCAAAGAGTATAGTAATTGTCCTTTACAGGAAATAGTAGCTTGCTACATATATATTTATCTATGGGAAGTAGTGATGGACTCGAGCACTCGAGCCGTTCTCTAGTATATATCACAGAACATTAATACCCTTAGGCGGGGTATATATACAGTAATCTATGCGTGTTTCACTCGAGTCACTCGAGTAGTTTTTTTATAGTATAAGGGTGACAAACGAGCATACAGTCCAAGTGATGGTAAGTGGTTGCTGCGGTCCATAGACATCTACATCTATCCCCTATTACAAATCAAACTGCAGATGCGTTGTCACCCGTGAGAACTAAGATGGAATGCCTCATTTCCAGTAAAAAGGGTCTCCGGTTCTCTACAGTCACCATACGAAACATTATTTTACTCGCACTCGAGTAATATTTATGACAACTTGGAATACGAGTGACGCGAGACAACTCGAATGACTCAGTCCACTGAGTGGCCTGTACCGACTCGAGTGAGAAATTCAAGTTGAGACAGTTTAACAGTTTAAAGAACATTGGATAAGGATAATATCTTTAGGTCCGTATTTGGAAAAAATCGAAGCACTTTCTACATCGTTTCCACAAATATTATACATTAGACATTTAATACACATAAATGCGCTACTTTTACGTAAAAAATACCTAGTTAATAGTCCTTAATATATATATATATATATATATATATATATATATATATATATATATATATATATATATATATATATGTGGCGGCGCTGTCGTCGCGCCACAAGAGAAACATATTGAAGCCTAAATCGCGCTAACAAAGTTCCGAAGTTAAAGCAGTATATATAGAATACGAACTACCACTCGGAGAGTTGGCCGCTCCCGGGGCAGTACACCTTGCCCAGCGGGAGATCTCCTCTTTTCCTTCCGACGGCCACAGTGGTGACCCCGACGTGATATGAACACGCAACCAATAACCTTCGGAAAATACAACTTCAAACCTTCGTCATCGTCCTCAAGTACCCCATTCATTCGCTCCCGAGCAGATATTGTCTGCAGTCTTCACATTCTGCAAGCCATCTAGCTTTACAAAGGTTCATCGCAGCACTGGAATAATAATGCGTCGACATATCGAGTGACGTGCAGTTTCGTGGTTACTCGAAAGAGAAGGCCATGTAGGCCTCTAAAAAGCTTGGCGTGCACAACTCAAATGAAACATATCAGTGTTTCGGAACATTTCAGTGATCGAGATGAAAATGTTCCAATTGCAAAAATGAAACACTTTGCCCACCTCCAGAGCGTGACAGTATTTCATGCCAGCACACTGCTTGGAACTTTACAAGGCGCAGGTTCAGCCTCACATGGAATACTGTTCCCATCTCTGGACTGGGGCCAGTGCCAGCACATCTTGGCAAAACTCCCAATACCATACACAACATCTGGATGCTTGGCGGTCCACCACTGTAGGTTTCACTAGGAGTTTTCTTCCGCGTACGACCTCTCTGTGGAATAATTTTGTAGTGTTGGGTGGTTCGGGGAATAAATAAAACGTCCAATAGTCTAGACGGTAGGTTTAATACTAACTCTCTCTTATTCTATCCTACATATATATAAGCACACACTACACGCCCATCGGCAAAAAGAAAAAAAAATCATTTACAAAAATATTTTTTTTTTGTTTTTTTTTTTTTTTTTAATGTAACATAACTTGGTTTATAAAAAAAAATTATATAAAAGGTGTACATTACAAAGTATTAAAATTCTTATACTATAACATACTTATATCATAATAAAAAAAAAAATCGTAAACACAGTAATTTTTAATTAATTTTATTTGTATTTATAGTAATAATAACAATTTTATTGTTTTATGTATATGGTCTAGTGCGATTTTTATGTATTGACTTATGTTTACCTTTGTAATCTATTGTTACATTTGGTTCACAATCTTCGATAACCTTAAATGGTCCTATATAAAGAGGATCAAATTTGTTTACACATTGTTCATTCTTAAGGAGTATCATATCACCGACATTATATTTAATTGGATTGGTATAGTAATCATACTTTGTTTTCCTACTTTGTTTGCTTAAAATTAAATTATTTCTTGCATCGTATTGCGATTTTTGAAGTCTATATCTAAGTTGTTGTGGATAATCATATGGGTTATATAAGGGCTCTATATCTAAAGTTAAATTAGTTGGCAAACGGCAAAGCTTCCCAAAAACAAGCTCATATGGAGTATACTTGGTTTCCGTGTGTACAGTGTTATTATAACCAAAACACCAATACGGTAACCAAGTGCTCCAGTTATGTGGTTCATTACCTGCTTGAATTCTGAGAAATGACATCAGATTTTTGTGGCTGTTTTCTAAGGAACCTATAGATTGGTGATGATATGCTGTTGACGTTACCTGTTGCGTTTTGAGAATACGGCACACGTCTTTCATGACGGTTGAAACAAATTCGGTCCCTTGGTCAGATATTATTTGTCGAGGAATACCATATCTCAAAATAAAATTATTGATAAAAGACGATGCCACTGAAATAGTATCCTTATGTTTAAGCGGATAGGCTTCAACATACTTACTTAAATCACACTGTAGTGTGAGTATATAAACATTACTATCGCTATCTTTACATAAGGGCCCTACTAAATCTAAATAAACTCTATCAAAAGCAGAATATCCCGTATCGGTTATCACCATTGGTTCTTTTATATGCTTATTTAAGTGCTTATATCGCAAACACTTGTCACATTGGTTTACATAATTAGTCACATCCTTCTCTAACCCGGGCCAAAAGAATCTTTTCTTTATATTGTTTATCATTCGCCTTATACCGGCGTGACCGCTAGTTGGCACTTGGCAATAGATGATAGTCGTTTAATATTATACGTTTTGTCTCATGATCGTCGATTTTATGGACACCATTTAAAATTAATATTCGCGGTCCGGACCTATTTGGTGTCTCATTTATAATACGAGTTAACTCCCTAATTAATATATTGTTATTATTATTTTGTATAATATACAGACGATCTATCTTTTGCTTATTACAAAAGCAATCCAACTCCCTCACAAAGGCATCTCGTGCACAATATGATCGGAAAGAAGGATTTACATAAATTGTTGACTTTGCTGAGACAAAACAAAATAACTTAGAGTTAGAATAGAACTTTTCTTTCATTCTGTCTATCTTTTTCCATTCTTTTTCGTCTACAAATAATAATTCAGTGCAATCCTTCGGTTGTTTAAGTGTTCCCACGACTTTTGGGTGATCAGTCCAATCGTTGGTGGTAACCTTATCCTCCGTAGGGTTGTCACGCTTATCTTGCGCAATTTTGTTTTTTATTCGCTTTCTTTGCGCTCTTGTTAGAACAGATATGACCTTTTCATTCATTTCTTTCAAATCTTCACTCGAAATTTGGATGCGTGACAAAGCATCTGCAGCTGCATTGTCAGCTCCCCTTACATACTTGATAACAAACTTATACTCCTCAAGCAATAACCTAAACTTCGTAAGTCTACTTGACGGATTTGTCATGTTGAATAAATATACGAGAGGCTTATGATCCGTTTCAATAATGAATTCGCGTCCATATAAATAAGGTCGAAAGTATTTTACGGCCCATACTATCGATAATAATTCCTTTTCGATAGTAGGATAGTTTTTCTCGGCTTTGTTTAAAGTGCGGCTAGCATATGCAACCGGTCGTCCGTCATGATTACATAAAACGGAGCCTATAGCAAAACCAGACGCGTCAGTTTTTAAAATAAAATTTTGGTCAAAATTTGGGTACTGAAGTATGGGAGGAGTCGTTAAAGCATTTTTAAGCGTTGAAAAAGATAGTTTACAGTTTTTATTCCAATGAAATTTAACATTTTTGCGACATAAATTGTTTAGAGGTAAAACGATTTCAGAAAATTTTGGTATAAATCTTCGATAGTAATTCGCAAACGCTACTAGTCTTTTTACATCGTTGGTATTTTGAGGAATTGGGTAATTTTGTAATACTGATATCTTTTTTGGGTCAGGCTTAATACCTTCGGAAGAAACAATGTGGCCAAGATAAAGAAGTTCTTTTTTTAGAAAAACACATTTTTTCGGGTTTAACTTTAAGTTTACTTTTCTTAAGCGTGATAATATTTCTATTAAATTTTTATTATGATTATCTAAGTTTCTGCCAAAACAAATGAGGTCGTCTAAATAAGTGAGCGCTTTTTCGTAATTTAAACCAGCCATGGATATTGTAATAGCACGAGAAAAGGAACTTGGGCTTGTCTTTAAGCCCATTGGCATTCTGGTCATCTGATATTGACCAGAGGGTGTAGTGAAAGCCGTATACCCTCTACTAGATGGATTAAGGCTTAATTGGTAAAAAGCTTGATTGAGATCAAGGTGGGTAAAATACATTGCTCCTGATAAGGAATCTAATATGTCTGTAATATTGGGTAACGGAAA